AAATTTTGCTATTTTGACTGGGGTGAGATGATATCTCATAGTTGTTTTAATTTGCATCTCTCTTAGGGCTAGGTATTTTGAGCATTTCTTCATGTACTTGTTAGCCATCTGAATGTTGTCTTCGGTGAAGTGCCTGTTCATATCCTGTGCCCATTTTTCTATTGGATTCTTTATCTTTATCTTGTTGTGGTGCTCAAGTATTTCATAAATTCTGGATATAAGTCCCTTATCTGATATGTTATTACCGAATACATATATTCCTTTTAAACAGTTTTTTTCCCCTCATCTGTTTCAATGTAGCACTGAAAAAAAACAAGAAACTCATGAAATGGTATACAAAATAGTTGACGCTGGAGGACATTATGCTGAGTGAAATATCTCAGTCACAAAAGGACAAATACGGCATAATGTCAGTGTTATAAAATAGGACTGATAAGGGGCTTAAGGGGAAACTAAGAAAAGAGCGGATAAATAATAAAGAACTGATTTTAAGAGGTATCTCATCAGACCTTTTTAAGTTCTTCTGAGCAGATCTATAATCTTTTGCATAGCATCTAAGAGTGTTAATCATCCGTGCCATCCAGGGACTCCCTTCCAAAGTCCTTAGGGATTTTCAGTAATGTCCTAGATACTGGAGAAGAAAAAAAGGAATGTGATGTAGGCTGCTCCCTAGAGCAGATAAACTCAGTCTGTGTGGTGCCAGTAGTAGGCCAGGCCCACTGTCCGCTTTAATAAACACAAACAATGTGCATGAGTGACGGAGGGAAGGGTGCTGGTGCCAGAGGCCAGGAAGGGCTGGCAAAGAGCCTGCTCTTCCCAGTGTCCTCTGTCCTTTCCTCTCCACTCAGCTGAAGAGTTAGTATACCTTTTGCATTGTATTCCTATCCCCATTTCTTTTGCCTGGACCCAAGTTTTAAAAGCCCCTTAGAATCTTCGTTCAGAAAAGGTAATTTAGAGCATTGCAGGTTGCCAACACTTTTCTATAAAGAGTTGGATGCTCAATATGCCAGGCTTTGCTGGCACGTGGCCTCTGTGACAGCTCTCCATCTCTGGCTGCAGTGCAAAGGCTGTCAGAAGCAACATGTAGACTCATGCATGTGGCTGTGTTTCAAGAAAACGTTATTTAGCTTTTGTGTTATTTACATGCGTTAGAAATTAAATGCTTTTAAAAACACTCTATATAATCATTTAAAAATGAAAAAAAAACAAAAACCCAACAATCCAAACCCCTAGTTTTGGCTCGTAGGAATAAATTATTCTGAGCAATAAACACAAACTCCCTGCCGTTGATTCCAACTCAAAAAGAGCCTCCGTTTGGCTTCTCAGACTGTAAACAGTAGCAAGAGGAGATTTCCTCCCTTCCTCCCGCAGAGTTGCTTCTTGTGGTACATTGGTCTGCTGGTACATTGGAACCAGCATAGACATTCAGCCTTTTCGTTAGCAGCAAAGCTTCCTAAGCTTACACATTCAGAGCTCCCTATTCTTAGTGGTGAGCTGCAAGCCCTGATTCAGAGTCTAGTGATTCCCAAATTGTGTCCCTCAGAAACTATGGCCAAATACTTCTAGAAAGTGCTAGGTTAAATAAAGTTAAACACGCATGTAACACTCCTCGTCATCATCACCAGCACCGTCATCATAATGGGACTTCTTAGAGCCTTGTTACTATGCTGGGGAGCATTATCTATATATCCAGGTGGGGACTACCATGCTCCTGGCTTCTTTATCTAAGAAATCTCTCTTTTTTAAAAAAAAAAAAAACAAAAAAAACCCATTTTAATAGATGAAATAAATACTCCAATGAAATCTCTTTTTTAATGATGTAATCTTGCAAGACTAGCATTTCTCAAGGCTAGTGCCTGTGGCCTGCACTTTGGAAAACATGACTCTAGGTAACACCTCCCCCAGCTTCACCTTTTAGCACACACACAAGCTTTCAGCACCATTCATCTCACATACTCTGGACATGCCATCAAGGGTGGCTAGTTCCTGGAGAAAGACATCAGGCTTGATAAAGTAGCTATTGTGGTTAGACGCCATCGAGTTGACTCATCATAGTGACCCAAGAACTACAGATTTGAACTGGGTCACCCTCACCATTTCTGCTATGCTCACACCCATTGTTGGAGTCACGGTGTCAATCCATCTTGTTGACGGTCTGCCTCTCTTTCTCTGACCCTCTATTTTCCCCAGCAGGATGCCTTTTTCTAAAGACTTGCCCCTCCTGACAACATGCCCCTACATGAGTCTGTGAGATGAAGTTGCACCATCCTTGCCTCTAAAGAGAACCCTGGTTGACTTCCTGTAAGTTCTGTTGGTAAAGTAAAGGGCCAGTGAAAAAGAGCAAGACCCTCAATGAGTTGGATTGTCAGGGTGGCCACAACAATGCATTCAAGTAGCAGCCACTGCCTGGCCAGTATTGTGTTCTGTTGTTCACAGGGTCTTAATGAGTCAGAACCTACTTGATAAACATAACTACTTGACATGATATTGTACTGCTGCATTCCCTGGGCAGCCCCAGGGCAGCACAGCACAAGTTGAGGCCAGCCACCAGGTAACAGGACTCCCAGAGGCCCCAGCTTTTCAGGGCAGCACATGTATACATTTCCTTATCTTCTTGGTTTCCAGAAAGTCAGATGGAGCATATTTTAGCTGCACACTTGCAGCACCTCGAGCCATGAGATCACCTGTCAGGAGATACTTCTAACATTTCTGACCCTGAGATTTTAAGGGACATATGCTCATGGGCAAGCCTCAGCCTCTGGGCTCCCCTCCCAGAAGGCATAACTGTGGAATTACTTTGGCAAGGACACAGATTAATGTACTCAGGATAGTAATAACATATGTAAATGTATATAGAGTTTAAAAAGCACTCTTGTGTAATTTTCACATTTGCTTCTTATACCTGCCCTTTGGGAGAGGCTGAACAGCATGTTTTGTTTTGTGTTTCAATTTTACAGATGCAGGACTGGAGGCTCAGAGAAGCCTAAGGCCTTCCTGCCACACAGCCAGCCAACACATAGCCCCAGGTCCCATCTCACCTCAGGTGCTGCCTCCCCCATTACCCCATTGTCTTAGAGAGAAAAGGTGACTAGGCAGTGACTAGGAAAGATGACCAATTTCCCTTTCTCCACCTCCCTCGTCTTCCTCCACCCCTCCAGCCCCCATATATACCAATCCCACAAAGTCTTGCTTGCCTGTACACCTTGACTTCTGAAATGACCTCCACAGCTGGGACAGGAGCCATTCATTTGCAGCTACACCCCTGAGAGTTGAAGAGTGGGGGTGCCTGAACTCCTTTCCCCAGCTCTAAGAATCCACCACCTGAAGCATCACTTCCAGAGCCTGAGGTGAGCAGTGGGATTCTCTAGCACTTGACTCTACAGCATTGGGCTGTGGCCTTGTTTGGAAATGGAGGGTGAGGGGCCCATGGCAGAAGTCAACTTTCTGGGTATGTATGACACCAGAGGAAAAGCAGCTTCCTCCGGGATAAAGCTAACAGGGATTTAGGCTGGATGAGAGAAAGACTTTTGATTAGAAAAATTATAAAACTGGGATGAATTTTTCAAGAGAGACTGAAAAACAAGTGGAGATTGAAATAAGATAATTGAAAGACATCGAGGGAGATAACTGAAGGCAGAGGCTGATGGACCAGCCCTGGGTACCACTTACCTCACTCAGGTGTGGGCAGTAATTCTAAGGGATAGCCGTGGTCTTCCTGGCCTCTCTGCAGAAGATTGAGCTTATTTAGGCCCTTGAACATTAATTAGTCCCTTATTCTCTGGAATAAGGAAGTTTCTTCAATGATTGTGGAATGAAGTAAGAAAGGAAAAGAGGGAGAAAGAAGTGGAAGGAAGAAGGAAATGGAAGATCAAGGAAGTTACGGAGGGAGGGGGGAATCTCTGCATTCAATTATGATAGAATACTTGATAGCATTAATGCCTCCAGCTTGGAAGGTTTTTACAGTCATTCCCAATCGGAAATTTAATGGAAGGTTTGAGGATGATTCATCTTGAAACCTCATTCTCTTTTGTTCAATTACCTGAGAAGATAATTCTTAAAGAATGAGCTGGACAGTTGAGGTGGTAGAATGAGTGTGTGGTGTTTGTGGGGCCCCTCCCTAAGGGCCAGGATTAAGCCTTCTGTCCCCTCACACAGCGAGCCATGAATGAGAATCTCCTGGGAGAAGTGTGTATGAATGCTTAGGAGGAGAACTCAGATAAGAAAAACACCCAGTTAACATTTTCTGCACTCGAGTTTGGTCTCCCTAGCTATGCTCTTTGGCCCATAACAACCCACAGCATTTCTTTATTTTCCTTAGTAAAATTCTCTCCAGCAGGTTGGTGGCTAGAGAGAATTGTATGGAACAAGAAGTGAAGTGGAGGGTGTGTATGATATAATGACGTAATGGGAGGGCAGATAACGAGATGGCAAGGCCAGTGGGTATGAGATCGAGGGATAGGAGGCCCCACCCAGCACACCTCAGCAAGGCCACAAGTCTCTAGTCTAATAGTAGAACCCACCCTTGTCTCAGGTCTTCCACCTCTCTGCTCCAAGGCTGTCTGTCTTCAGCATATGTGAGGAGCACTTAGGCTACATCACCGTGCCATGGGCCCATGTGTGGGTTCGGTGGGCCTGAACTAGCGGGGAGGACTTCCTTTCTTTCAGAGAGAGCATCTTGGACCTTCCTTCCCTTCAGATGGCTTCTTGGATGTGCAAGGCCACCCTACCTTTTCTGAGTGTGTTCCTGATTCTCTGGAGCCAGATGCCAGAGGTCCAGGGACAAGAATTCCGATTTGGGCCTTGCCGAGTGCAGGAAGCAGAGGTGCGGGAACTGAGGAAGGCCTTCTGGACCTTGAAGGACACTGTGGTGAGCGCGACGTGGTTCTGAACCCACTCATGTAGTTACTGTGGATATTGCTGTTGTTGAATTAGTTCTCTAAGTGCAACAGAATGAAACACCGACCGCTCCTGTGCTGTCCTCACCAATATCGTTTTGTTGGGGCCCATTGTTGCAGACCTGGTGTCAATCTATCTTGTTGAGGGTTTTCCTCTCTCCTTTTGCTTTACAAAGCATGACATCTTTCTTCAGAGTCTGATCCCTCCTAAAAATGTGCCCAAAGTACATGAGATGAAGTCTCATTATCTTCACTTCTACGAAGGATACTTAGATGATCTATATTCCAAGATACTTTTGTTCATTCTTCTAGTAGTTTATGGTATAATCAACATCCTTTGCCATCATTTGCCATTCAAGTGCTAAAGAGCAATGATGTCAGTCTAGAGACTAAGGTGTGCCTGATCCAGACCATGGTCTTTGCAATTACTTGATATGCATCAGAGAGCTGGAGAGTGCTAAGGATGACAGAAGAAGAATCAATGCCTTTAAGCTATGGTGCTGGAGAAGAGTATTGAACATATCATGGACTGCTAGGAGAACGAACTAGTCTGTCTTGGAGAAAGAGAAACCAAGTTTCTCCTTGGAGGCTAGGATTTTGAAATTTCATCTTACATAATTTGGGCATGTGACCAGGAAGGACTAGTCTTTGGAAAAGGACATCATGCTCGGAAGGGTGGAGGGACAGCGCAGGAGGGAAAGATCTCAGATGAGATGGATTGATACAGTGACTGGGGTAATGGGGGTAGGTGTGTTGGAAACAATGAGATTGGCTCAGGATAGAGCAGGGTTCAGAGCTCATAGGGTTCCTATGATGGCACATAACAACAGCAACCAGAGTTGAAATGTATCAATTCTTCTTCAGACTTCCTTGTTCATTACCTAGCCTTCACATGCATTGGAGGCAATCAAAAAAGACCATGGCTTGAGTCTGATGCACCTTCTTCTTCTTCAAATCTTTGCTTTTCAATACTTAAAAAATTCACAGCAGATGTGCCCAAAGCAATAGTACATTGTTTGATTTCTTGACTGCTGCTTCCATGACCGTTGTGGATTCAAGCTAAATGAAACCTTTGACAATTTCAGCACTTTCCCCATTTGTCATGTCCCCAGCCATGGGGGTCCTGTGGGCAGAGGTCAGTCCTTCATAGTGGGGAAGCCCTTTGCAGCTCAGGAAGCACACGCCTCAACAATAGCTCAATGAGATCAGACAGCATCATGAGCCCATTTTACACATGAGGAAATAGAGTCAGGAATATGTAATCAGTCTATATAATAAAGACAATAGAGTTCAAGGGTGATAAAGAATGCATGATGCATCCAGGCTTCATCTACAACCCAGGGGGGCCCGAGACACCCCACACCCCAGAAGTCATGGACACTCCTTTGAAACCTACTGGGGCCGTCAGCTCTTACTTTGCCGGCTCTTCCTGAGTACACAGGCTTTGGCTGAAAATGGAAAGCATGGCTTGTCCTGAGCTCTGATGCCACAGTGTGTGCAGAGCAGCCATGGATTTCTCCAGATCTGAAAGGGCTTCAATACATGCTCTCACGAATGCCTTGAACTCTAGATGATGAGCCAGATGGCAAGGGTAATGGCAAAAGAAGAAGAGTCATGGGCAGCCTGGGGAAAGGCGAGCCCAGACTCGGGGACAAAGCCCTTAGGTGTGGTCTTGACTTTGGAATGAACTTGGGCAGTAGCTTCCTTGCTGTTGCTCAGTGCAACCGCCTTGACTTTGACTATGTACAGCAGGCGGAATCCTTAACTGATTCTACACCCTCCTCACAACCTCATTTTGTGCTTGAACCCTCTGTTGTGGACACTGTATCAATCCCTCTTGTTAAGTATCCTCTTCTCTTTCATTGATTCTTCACCTTTCCAAGCATAATGTTCCTTTCTAAAGACTGGTACCTACTGACAACATGCCCAAAGTACGTGAGATGCAGTCTCACAATCTTTGTGTCCAGGGAGCACTCTGGCTGCATTTCCTTCAAGATGGATTTGTTTGCTTTTGAGGGCAGTCCAAGGTCTATTCAATGCTCATCAACACCACAATTGAAAGGCATCGATGATTCTTCAGACTTCCTTTTCCATTGTCCCATTTTCCCATAATTATGTAGCAATTGATCCCCTATCTACCCTCTAACTCAGCTTCCTTATTTGCTCAAGAAAGAGGTGAGACAAATGGTCCCCAAGGCCCTTCCTTTCAAGGATTCTTTGACTCTACCCTAAAGGCTGAAATGAGTGCGTGGGCCTTCACGGGCAGGAGGTACGAGTGACCACCTGTGGAATCGTTATTATAGCGGCCCTCGCCTCAGCTGACTCATGCCTCCTCCATAAAACCGAACAGAACCCTGCTCAAGCTTGCGCCGTCCTCACAGTCTCTGCAGTGTTTAAACCCACTGCTGTCATCACTGTGTTGATCCATCTTGTAAGGGTCTTCCTTTCCTTTGCTGACCCTCTGTTGTTTCCAGGGATGATGTCTTTTTCCAGGGACCTTGTTATGGACTCCACAACAATGAGCTTGTAGGATGTGGTTGTTATGTATGTCGGAACCAACTCACAGCTGACCCTTCAGTGGGCTTTCAGGGGCTGTAAACCCACGAGAGATTGCCCATCTGTCTCCCACAGAGCAGCTGGTGTGTTTGAATGGAGTTCTGGTGGCCACTAGAACACCAGAGCTTAGCCTGTTGAATATGGAGCCAAAGCCCGCCCTTAGTGAGCCTGTTGTGCATTGTAGAGTTGGACCCTGCCTGTAGCTGACCCTCCAGCAGGTTTTCAGAGGCAGTTAATCACACAGGAGGAGATTGCCCTTCCTTCTTTGGCGAAGCAGTTTGTGGATTCAAACTGTGTGCCTTCAGGATTGCAGAGCAGCTTCTTACCACTAGGCCATCAAAGCACCCTTTAGTGAGTCTTGAGTAGGTCTAGTTCCTCCAAAGGAGCTCTGGTGTGTTAGCGGGAAGGCACTGTGCTGCCACCCAAAAGCAACGATTTGAATCCACCAGCTGCTTCATGGGGGAAAGATTGGCAGTCTCCTCCTGTGTGATTTATTGCCTCTGATTACTCACTAGGGGGTCAGCTTTGAGTTAGTTTCAGTGAAATGGTGCATAACAACAACAGCAGTAGCAGCTCCTAGTCTCTAATGACCACATGGTCAAAGGATTCAAGCAGGTCCTTCATTAAGTTCATGTTCAAGCTCGACGATCTCCTGAGATCGCATTTCCCCTTGTGTTCAAGCTTCATGCTTTTCTACAGCTGATTTCTAAGTCTCAGGACCCTTATGCCTGCTCCCCAGGGTCTGGCCCCGCACAGCCCTCCGTGAGTGCTCGTTTGCTCTGTCTGGGCTCTGAAATCTCAGAATGGATACATGTAGGGAGTGGTCTTGGGGAAGCAGGGTTGATTTCTGTGTTAACTTTCAACCTGAAGACATCTTCTCTTTCTGTTTCCACAGCAAGCTCAGGATCACAACACAAATGTCCGACTGCTGAGGAAGGAGATTCTACAGAATGTATCGGTAATTAGACTTCAGAGAAGATGGAGTGTGTGTGTGTGTGTGTGTGTGTGTGTGTGTGTGTGTGTGTGTACACACGTCTGCACGCACAGGTGGTCCGTTACGGATGAAGAAAAGGATTGACTAGGGGGAGGTAGTCTGACCTTGACTTTTCTCAGTCAGTGGGCACCTAGAACTTGGTGGTTAAGAGAGGAAGGAGAAGAAATGACGATAAACTAGAACACATGTCCTGAAACACAGGACTGCATCCTGGAACAGGGTTCACTATGTTGCCCTTGGAGTGACCGGGTGCTCACTGACTGACTAAAGTCAAGGTCACTGTCGTGGAGTCAGAACTTACTCTCAGCCACCAAGTACTGGGTACTTCTAAGGGTCCATGACCCCTCCCCCAGCAAGCCTTCCTCCTAGATACTAGATATGAGAGCATGGTAGAGAAGAATATTAACAAGCTAGGGAGTCAGCAGTTTTGAGAGCTGAGCCTGATTGTTGGTGGTACCTTGGGCAAGTCCCTCTCTGTGGACCTGGGGCTTCTACAAAACCAAACCACTGCGTTCTGTGGTCCTAGATGTCTTCCTCAGATCCAACGTCGATCATCATCATCTCTTAGACTCTTGACTGCAGGTGGATTGCCCGGTGAGCAAAGTTAATCATGATTAACTTTGATTAGCTTAGGTGCTTACTTATGAATCTGTGGTAAACAGTCTTATGTGGGATGTGGCAAAAAAAATATGAAACTGTTCACTACAGATTCCCAAGTAAGCCCATGTTTAACTGGCTTGCTGGATAATCTGACACCACTGCAGTGGGCTCCACAGTAATCCAGACTCTTCTCCAGGACGCTGAAAGCTGCTACTTCATCCACTCTCTGCTGAAGTTTTACCTGAAGACTGTTCTCAAAAACTTCTATAGTAAGGCAGCTGAACTCAGGATCCTGCCATCATTTTCTGCTCTCACTAACAACATTATGATCCTCGCTATGAAACTGCAGCGCAGTGTGAGTAAAGACAGGCCTTGGGAAGTTGCGTTTTGAGAACTCTCCCTGCCCCCCATTCCCTGGTGCTGGTTTTTATTCCACAAAAGGGGACCATGGGCTGCCCCAGAAAAAAAGTAGAGATCTTAGATGCCAACGTTCCTGGGTGCAAGTCTCAGCCTGCTTCTGACTAGCTGGGTGACCCTTCTGAAGGTGCTCTGAGCTTCAGTGTTTCCCTCACTGGAAGGATTGCTGTGAGACTAAAGGCGGCATGGACCTGCCACGTTGTCAGAGTCCAGAGTCATGATGGATGAGTGGGGGAAGCCTTACTAAGCCTGTTCAACATTAGGCACAACTTCTTTTTTTTCTCTATTCCCAGGAGGGAGGTGAGAAGTTCTCCAACACTGAGAATGCACAAAGCCAGTTTCTGCAGTTCCGAAAGGCATTTAAACAGGTAATCAGGCTTAGGAGGTGGGAGCTTGCCTAGACCAGACCTGTCTGCCTCCCAGATGAGGGTGCTTTGGAGCTCTGATGCAGAGTTCATGCAGGGCTTGTTGGAAATATACTTCAGTTATATGTTCACATCAATGAGCATGTGCTTTGCATTGTTGTTGTTAGGTGCCACCGAGTAGAATGACTATGACTCATAGCCACCATAAGAACAGCCATTCTGAACCCTCTCCTGTCCTGTGCTGTCCTTGCTATCTCTGAGACACTAGAACCCATTGCTGAAGTCACAGTGTCAATCCATCTCCATCTTCCCTTCCTTCGTTGACTCTATCTTTCCAAGCATGATGTCCCTTTCCAAGGAATAGCCTTGCCTAGCTACATGTCCAAAATACGAAAGACAAAACTTGGTCATCCTTGCCTCCAATGAGAACTCTGGCTTCACCCTTTCCAGGAAATGCCCGTTTGGTTTTTTTGGCAATCCATGCACTCTTCTCCAGCACAACTCAAAGCATCAATTCTTCTCTGTCATCCTTATTCCTTGTCTAGCTCTCTGATGCATAGCAGGTGATTGAGAAGACCAGGGCCTGAATCAGGAGCACCTTAATCTTCAACCTGACCTCATTGCTCTTCAGTATTTTGGAGAGGTCCCTGACTAAAGAGTTGCTCAATGCAGTATGTTGCCTGATTTTCTGACTGTTGGCACCAGATGTGTTGATTGTTGCCTTAAGGGCTTATTTCTCTGTTGGTTGAAGTGTTATTATATACCCCTATAGGAGATTTTAGGAGTCCCTGGTTCAAGCAAACAGCTTACAGAAGGTATTGATTTTCCAATCAACAGTTCATACACATTATGCTCCATGCCGTTGATTGTAACCCCCCCAGTGTAACAGCATTCACACTTCCTGCCTGTTTGCTGTTTGTGCTTACTTTCTGTCCTGGCCCTTCCTGCCTTCTGAGCGTTCCCGCTAGGCAAATGCTGTGCTTTAAATCCCAGATAGTTGATTGTTCTAAGGAGTGAGTACCTCCTTGTTATTACAGACCTGTCTGTTGTTTCGCTGAGGGAGGCCTGATGGCCTAGTTGTAAGAAGCTGTGCTGCCACTCTAAAGGTCTGTGGTTCAAATCTACTAGCTGCTTTTTGGGATAGAGACAAGAAATTTCCTCCTTTGTAATTTAGAGCCTCTGAAAACCCACTGGAGAGTCAACTATGAGTTGGTTCATACCACAAATGGCACATAATAACAAGAACATTGTCTGACCTACATTATGAGCTGATTCTGATTCTTGTAACTAATACAGCGGACTTTTAACCCTCCTTTCCCTGCAGATGGACAGAGAGGCGGCTCTGATCAAAGCTGTCGGAGAGTTTGACATTCTCTTGACCTGGATGGAGAAATTCTACCAACACTGAATACCTAGACCAGGACACCTTCTTTGTTCCATGTCATTTCAAAGGGATGTCTTCTCCTATGCTCTTCTCTGGGTCACATCACACCCTCCACCAGGGACTTTCTTTTTGGCTGGAGCCCATCCTCAAAGGCTTCTTCTTCAAGTGGTCCCAGCGACAGCCAAGAAAGGCTCCCTTAGATGCTGTGAATAACCCACAAAGCAGATTCTCCTATTTATTAGACCTCTATTTAATTATCATGATGTTTTAACTGACGTTGTATCTATTTATGAGACTGTACTTTCTGCAGAGACAGTCAGGAAGAGTTGCCATGTTTCCTCTGTGTCCCCGACAAGATCTGCCACACTGCGGGGGCAGGAATGGGAGGGTCAGTGAATAATAAACTGAATTTCCAGCCTGGTCTCTGTATGGTTGAGGAACAATGAGGCATGCTGGGATATGAAATTACACTTCAGGACATGAAAGCCACACTGGCCCAATGTCTGAGGGGACAGTGAACTGGAATGGGGCTAGGGGGGTGGGCTGAGAGGTAAAAGGTGTCTTTAAAGTGCCTGGTCCGAAGCACACTCCCACTAAGCCTTGTTCGGGGCCTGCGTGCCCACCCCACCTCCCCACCCTTCCCTGTGTGTGTGCTCCTTTTGTTATCCTACTCGGTTTTTCCTTATTTGCCACTTGAGAGGCCGCTAGTGTCAGAGTGACATTGCTGAGGCTGTCGCTGTGCACCCACAGGCTGTTCAATCTGTAATGACACTCCTTACTGACAAATGGCAGCCGAGCACTGGTCAGGCAGCCTTTCCATTCTGTTCCTGGACAAGTTCCCAGTGAAGTTGAGCTCCATGTCTGGGAGTTGCTTTCTTCCAATTAGAAGACTCACACTCTCTACTGCCAAGATCAAGATGAACTAGGGGGTTGTCATTGTTGTTATTATGTGCCATCAAGTCACCTGCACCTCATAGAGACCCTGTGTACAACAACCCTGAACCATGCTCTGTCCTGTGCCAGTCTTATTGTCTCTGACACACCTAACCCCATTACCCCAGTCACTGAACCAAGCCATGTCATCCAAGTCTTTCTCTCCTGTGCTGTCCGTCCACCCTCCCATGCATGATGTCCCTCTTCAAGGATTGATCACTCCTTGTGACATACACTGAACTGGGTTGTTGACTTAAATCTACAGTGTCTGAGTGACCTTGCTCCAAAACTCCCAAATAGATTACAGGTTGGCAGGAAAGTGTCTCTTCTATGACAGAAATGTTATTTCAGAACCCTGGTTCTTCAGGTGTCCCCGACTGCTTCCCACCCCCACACCTCACTCATCTGGAACCAATAGAGAGACAAGGTATGTTTCTGAAAATAGAGAGTTGTCATGATTTGGGCCAAAGGGGCACTAGAATACACCCAAGTGAAGAGGAATTCACAAAGACTGATACCAGGCTATGGACAATGCACACGGAGGGGACACATGCTGTGTTAATGAACGCTGTATTAGAACAGATGAGGGAGAGAAGTGTTTAAAAGGAATATATGATTAGGCATTATAAGACACCAGTCCTGAATAAGAGGTACATTGCAAAGAGGACTGGGGGAGAGGGAGAGGTGAGGGAAGAAATTGTGCAACAATGAATGAATATTAAAAAACAAAAAGAAAAAATTAATTTGATGTGAAAAGGAGTCAGAGGGAGGAAAATGTGCAACAACGAATTAATGAAAACCCAACTTTCCTGTAAACTTTCTTTAAAAATCACAGTTAAAATGAAACATTTTTTTAAAAAGAGAGAGAGAAGAGGACGGCTAGGGACAGCCTCTTTGGATGCATCTAGGCAAAGCACTCTGGAGTCAAAGGAGTTTAACTGGAGAAGTTTTCTGCTTCTTAATCTTGGACTGATCTTTTAGGGAGCTTGGCTTTCATCCCAAACACTGCTGAGAAATCAGCTGGTGCCAAATGCATTGAGCACCAGCAAGCCTGGTTCAGCAAAACTAGAATTTGCTGTTACGTCAAAATAAATTATCCTTTCCAGAGGATTCAAGAGAATGGAAAAGTTTATTAGCAAGGACCAGCCTTAGTAGTAGTAGGAGAAACATATTCCTAGGGAATTTCCCACACCTGCTCCATCTTAGCTTCCTGGATGTACAAGGCAGACCACCTGTCAAACACGTCGCCTTTGAGTCCTCCTAACTCAGAGCAACCCTCTAGGACACTGCAGTGACGTCCTTGAGGATGCCCAAGGCTGTAAATCCTTCTGGAAGGAGACTGCCCCATCCTGTTCCTGCAGAGCACCTGGTGAACTTCACTACTGACTGCTCAGCAGATGAGCACTTTAGTCATTGTGCCACCAGACCGCCACGAAAAAGCTGAGGCTCCTCCATTCATGTGAATTCCAAGTCTAGCAGGGCTCCTGGTGCCATGTGGCTCAAAGCAAGGTAGTAATGGAGCCTGGGATGAAGCACATTGAAGTCACATTCTATAAATCCCACAGGCTGGGAAAGAAGCAGATAGTATTGAAACAAATGTCTTGTGTGCCCAGAGCCCACTTGATCACCACAGGAGATTGCAAAAGTACAGGAAAGGAGTTGGGGCAAGGTCACATCCAGGGGCAGACAGACCGGGAGCTGATACGGGCAGGCAGGCAGGCGGTAGGAGTTGATGGAGTCACCTTGCCAGGTGCTGAGACTCAGCAGACAAGTGAGAGTCATTAGCATAAAGGCCCAGACTCAGGAGGATAGCTAGGGAGGTGAGTCAGGTGGGGAACATTGACATAATCGTCTGAATCAGCATCCTCTGTCTTGGCAGGAGGCTGGCAGCTCTCATATTCACAGCTGGTCGTCAGAGGTGAGGCATGGGCCCAGGGGGCTTCCAGCACCTGGGAATAAACAAAGAGGAACTGTTGGATTTGGGCAGGGCAATTAGTGAAACTTCATCTCACATAGTTTGGACATTGTATCAGAAAGAAAAGAAAAAAAAAACTCCTTAGAAAAGATACCAATGCTGGGCAAAGTGAATAGTCAGAGAAAGAGGAAGACCTTCACCAAGGTGGACTGACACAGTGACCGTAACAATAGGCTCAAGTGTATCAGAGATTGTGAGAATGGTGCAGGAGAGGACACGGCTCTGATCTGTTGTTTATGGGTTTGCTATGAGTCAGAGACTTGATGACACCTAACAATAACTAGGTGAAGTTTCACAGTGGGCAACGGAGACGTGTGCTCGGCTGCTGGCTTCCAGGACGCGGAGACATGGGGGTGGCTGAACTCCAACAAACGGCCCAGCCCTGGGGATTTTCAGGGTGGCACCTCACCCTGCATAACTGGAAAGCACTTTTGATCTGTTGTGGGCAAGAAACGCCTTAATGAGTTCAGGCTCCCCTATGCAGTAGCTCAAGATGCCAAAGGAGAGTCCCCTTAAGGACTAGATGATGTGAGCTGTGGAATAAATATGCATCTCCTAGGGAGTTATTAGGAAGTAGGCTGAGTCATCCCCTGCACCTCTGTAAGGGCTCTGAGAGCCTGTGACGGGGCAGGCGAGTGCATTCCAGGAAGGGGCTGGGCGGTGATGGGGAAAGAGCGGGCCACATGGGGACAGTGGTACTGCTTTTCCCAGACAGCAACTGCAGGATCCTCTACCTTCAGGATGCTCAGTCACCACTCCCTTGCACCTTGTAGTAACTAGTCTCATCAGTTACCTTCCTCGCCCCTAACAGTGGGAAATGAGCGCTTCAGCGAGCTGGTCAAGTAAGATTTGAGGAAGGCCCAGGCTCAGGTGAAGGTCTGCAAGGCTGCAGGGGATACAAGAAACAGGAGCCAGGGTACGGACCAGAGTCAGGCACAGGAGGACAGGAGGACACGTATCAGGCTCATATTTAGCCCAAGCTCTATTGGTAGGTGCTTGCCAAGTCAATTCTAACTCATAACCACCTCATGTGACAGAGTTTTCTAGGCTGTACTGTTACAGAAGCAGGTCATTAGGCCTTTCACCCACGAAGCTACTGGGTATGTTTTCATCGACAACTTTTTTGGTTAGCAGATCAGTGCTTAACTGTTGCACAACCAGTCCTTATTACTTACTCATTGTTATTATATCTGACTCATAGCTGACCCTTATAGTGGGTTTTCAAAGGCTGGGCAAATTTCATGGAAAGAGATCACCATCTCTCTTCCACAAGGTAGCTGATGGATTTAACTGCCTGTCGTAAAGCTGGCATGCAACTTCTTACTCACTAGGTCACCCGCTCTCCTTAGCTCTCTTATTGTTGTTGTTAAGTGCCGTTGAGTCGCAGGCAACTCATAGCGACCCTATGAAGGACAGTCCTTGACGCTTGGGTGCCTTTCATCCTCTCTCCAGGTTCATAGGGTTTCAGAGGCAAGCTATTATGGAAGTGGATGCCACTCCTACTTCCAAGCTTGTTTTAGTCTGGGAGCTCCACCCTGCACTCTGTCTGCATTGGGTAGCCAACCATTAACGTATTTGACACATCAGTGTTATAGTGTTCAGCCTCACAGCAATCACAAGTGACCACGGTATGGCAACTTGTACACCAGGGCTATACGACCTAGAGGAATGTCTGAACAAAAACAATGAAATACAGGCCCGAGGGACGCGGATTAAAAGTCACCCACTTTTGGCTTGGTAGCATTGCTTTCTGTCCACTGACCAACTGATCTCTCTCTCTGTTTAGCTCTCTTAGAATACTGAATTTTGGGTCTCAAAGAGGGCCAAGGAGAAATCCTGAGTATGGGCAAGCCAAAGTCACAGATATTGTTGGCTCATTCTTGACAAGTAGAAATCTTTTGTTGGGGTGGTGTGTGTAGGTAGGGAGTAACTTTGGCCTAGTTGCCAACTGTTGCTGGTATTACTCTCTCCTTTGTTGCTGTGTGGTATAGAGTCAGAAGCAACACATAGTTGGCCTTCCAGCAGGTTCCCAGAGGCGGTTCATTGCATGGGACGAGATTGCCCATCCTTCTCCTGCACAGCGGCTGGTGGATTCGAACTGGATTTCGGAACTGCAGTGCAGTTTCTTACCACTAGGCCACCAGAGTTCACTTTGTAGATAGGTGCAAGTACGACCAGCCAGCGCCTACATTTTCCAGTCTCCCTTGAAAATAGCCATGGTCACATGACTAAGTTCTGACCAATGGGGTGTAAGCAGAAGTGATGCGGCTCTAGAGCTCTGCTCCCCAGCAAACAAAGGGTCTGTGGTTCTAATCCACTAGGTGATCAACAGAAGAAAGATGTAGACCTCTTTTACCAAGTTGGAAAGACTGTGGGACGATTCTTCTCCGCCCTATAGGATTACTATGCTTTGGAAGAGACTTAATAGAAAAGGGTGGATTTTTTTTTTGGGGGGGGTTGTTTTTCATTCTTACCAACCTACATTCCCCCCCCCCAACGAGGATTTTTGAAACATCTACTCCCTTCATCCCCCACCCCCTGCCTCGAAGTTCATTTCAGAGGAAAATAGACTTCCAGCTCCTCATTTGGTGTTTGGGGGCCCAGGGGATCTATTGCATTAGCTTAGTCTACAATCTAATATGAGATGTTTCAGCATTAGAATTCTCATCTGCCATGTGGGAAACTCGGGTTCGATTCCCCACGGATGTAGTCACAACCCATCTGCCAGTAGTTTGCCTGTTGACATGATGATGAGGAGGAGGAGGACGGCACAGGATGGAGCAAGGTTGAGATCCGTTGTTGGTAGGCTGGCTGTGAGTCGTGGTTGACTTAGTGGCACCTGACACCAACAACATAATCCTAAACAGGCTTCAGTAACACTTACAGCCTAAGGACAGCCTAGGAAGGAAGGTCTGGCAATCTACTGAAAACCTATAGATCATAATGACTTAGCATATCGTAAATTAAGGTCTGACTTGACAGAAGTCAACACTTTAATTAAAACAAGATATTCTCCACACTTAGTAATTATTCCCCCTACACCCCGCCTATTCTTAGTGCTTTTGCCATTGCCAGCTGCTTTAGAGAAAGAATTCTTCTTTATAATTTTGTAACAACAAAGACAAATAGGGGGGGAACGCCGCTGCCAGACCGGGGAACGCCGCCACCAGACGAGGGAACGCCGCGAGAGGGACCCGGAAGAGACCCGGGAAGAACAACAGCCAGCCACCTACCGTGGAACTCCAGAGGAGCGAAGACTGTGAGACCCCAGAGGAAC